GCCCGGCGGCGCGGAGCAACCGAGCTCCCGGACGGACGGCAGGCAGGCCTGCTGAGAACCGGGCTTGGCGCTCCGCTCCGCGGCCACCCGCTTTTCTGCACAAAGACCCCCAGAAGTGGTGCGGTAAGGCCGGTCTCTACTCGCGGTGCCAAGCAGGGAACTAAACTAGAACTTCGGCGACAGCTTGCCCGTCGGCCGCCGCGGTGGTAACAATTTACGTCGAGTGCGGGCCCACCGCGCCCTCCCCGCCCTCCCCGCCCTCCCTGTCCCGGGCCGTCCCTGGCCGGAGCCCTGCAGTGAGGCCTCCCGCAGCTTCTCCGCCTCGCAGCCCCGCGCTAGGATTGATGGAGGTTGCGTGCCGAGGGTCCTGGTCACAGCCGTAATCTGGACTTTGAGCCAAGCCTAGGCCTGCACTAGTCTGCCTTGGCCGATCTCAGACCGTCTCCTTTCCCGTTTCTCCGACTCAGGAGATTAGACCCACAGACCACGCCGAGTTTTCTTCCTCTGTCAGACATTGCCCTTGTATTTCGCTCTGTCTCGACAAAGTCGAGTCAAAGCTGGGTGAATTTGACTGGGAAGGTGGCTCAGTGGTAGAGTGCTCACCCAGCATGCACAACACCTTGGGTTCGGTTCCTCAGTACCACTTACACAGAAAAAGCCGGAAGTAGCGCTGTGGCTCTGGGGTAAAGTGTTAGCTTGAGCAAAGGAAGCTCAGGGACAGGGCCCCGGCCTGAATTCAAGCCCCAGGACTTATCCAAATAATAATTTTAAAAAGCTTGGTGAGTTTGTGGAGGTCCCTTACCCTCAAGTCAGTGACCCCTGGAAGGAGTTGATGAGGTGTGTGCCTCAGAACCTGCAAGAGGAGTAACAATTCCTGAAGCCCACCAAGCGTGGAGTATTTTCTCTTCAAATATAATGGCTGTTTTTTTTTTTTTAATGAAATGAGAGTTAATGTTGATCTGGACATTATGGCTTAGAGATGGAGTGAAGATCCTAAGGCTGTATGACTGGCAGGTGCCACTTGCCGTAGCTTTTGGGTTCTAGTGACCAGGGACTTGACTTCAGAGCTGGAGACTACTAGTCATTTTAACACAGAATGTTACCTTCTCAAGCGCCTCGCTGAACCAGTAAGGCTCAGGCTGCATGGGACAGACACCTCACCAAAGTGGTGTGGCTCGGGTAGTGCTGTTATCAATGTCATTGGTGTCATTGTCAGTGTTGTGATCATCTTCTGATTCCTGTAACATCAGAGAACCTTATTGTCTCCCCACTGGTCCATAAGTTGTTTCCATTGTCTGCCATTTTCTCAAAACTTCTTTCAGTACCATATGAAGGACAAGGTAGCTTTCTCCTTCCCCCTGGAGCCCAGCTCACAGCTTGGGCTGTGTGATTTGTGCCTTCATCTCTTTCTGTCTTTTGGGGTAAAGTATATATGACAGCCCATGTAATCACCCAAGGCCAGTACTAACACTTGTTGACTTTGCAGGTGTCTTTGACCTTTGAGGATGTGGCCGTGACATTCACCCAGGAGGAGTGGAGGCAGCTAGACCCAGATCAGAAGACCCTGTACCAGGAGGTGATGATGGAGATCTTTGGGCTCCTGGCCTCACTGGGTAAGGCCATCTCCTTTCACCGTGCTGTGAACCTGCCTCTTCCCTTCCACCTCTGCCCCAGGTTCGGCTGACCCAGGCCTCTGGGCTCAGCTTTACCCCTCTAGGCCAGTTGCCAGTGGCTCACACCTGTAATCCTAGCTACTCAGGAGGCTGAGCTCTGAGGATCACAGTTCAAGAGCCAGCCCAGGCAGGAAAGTCCGTGAGACTCTTATCTCCAGTTAACCACCAGGAAACTGGGAGTGGAACTATGGCTTGAAGTGGTAGCCTTTAGTGAAAGAGCTCAGGGATAGTGCCCAGGCCCCGGGTTCAAGCCCCAGGACTGACAAAAAAGAAAAAAGAAACAGTACCATTAGGCTTCCAGCATAAAATTAAGTATATAGCGGCAGGAAATAGGTGTTTGCAAAACTCAGAGGCAGGATTTCCAGCCAGGCCCTATAAGCACTGATGGAAAAATTGACCCACCACAGTTGAGTCCCAGTGGAGACTTAGGATTGTAATCTCTCAACAGCAGCCATGTCTTTCTCACTGAACAGGGCATCCTGTTTCTAAGCCTGTGCTGATGGACCAACTGACCCATGGCCAAGAGCTGTGGATGGTGACACAGGGCCTCTCCAAAAGCACCTGTCCAGGTAAGTGTCTAGATCTTAGAGGTGTGAGACTTAAGAGACCACTGGCCCTGGCACCCCCAGGAGACCTCTTGCTGTGACCTTTCTGGGGGATTGTGGAGACCAGGGAGCCCTTTGACTTGAGGCTCCTCTGCTCTCCAACCCTTCACACTTGTCACAGCCTCTGGGAAGTCTGCTTCATCAAACTCCAAACTAACTGCTATATCAAACTCTAAAGTCTCAGTGACTCATTATGTGTAAATGTTCTTCTCATTGGTGCAGAGAGGCCTGTGTGGGTCAGCTGAAAGCGCTGTACCAAAGGTTTGGTAGGTATCACACCCTGCTGAATTCTGTCTCCAACCTATAATTGATCAGGAGATTTGGTTGGTATTGTGGCTCAGAGCCTGGTGATTTACTTATTCACTGGGTTTTCTTGTTCAGCCAGCTCTTGGTCAAGGTCTTTGGAACACACAATCTAGGTGGTTCCAAATCAGCTATGTGAAGGTAAATGGGTTACCTGTGATGAAACAGTTGAGCCAGAATTGAAGATATGCGTGTCTCTGTTGAAGACCCTCTGTCCCCTTGTCTACCCTCCCCACTAGGAGGGGAATAGAGTCAAGTATTAAACTCCAGAAACAAAAACCAAAAAAAAAAAGGAATTTCAAACCTGAGGCTTATCAAACATAAAGCCAAAGCTTCCAGCATTTTTTCCACTGCTGTGGGCATGTTATTCTGTGTTCTCATTGCCGACTGTCCCTGTTACATTGAATGTGTTTCAGAAACCAAGGCCGCGGAACTTACTACCTGTGAGACAGCCGTGCGTGAGGGAGTCTCGTGCCAGGGAGTGTTAACACGAGGAGATGCGAGGCACTTGGAGTTGGCACAAGTTACAGGTCAGGAAGGCTCATCAGAATGGCAGGAAGGGCTCTTGAGTGCAGGATCAAATGCTCTGAGTGCTCAGAGGGAAGAGCTCCCTGGGAACGTGAGCCTTGGATGGGAAGGCTTCAGGGAGGCTCAGGACGTGTGTTCCACCGTGGTCCCGGGGCAGATCCCTCCGCAAGATGCTCTTCATGACTGTGACCCTGCTGGGTCAGACAGGGACCCCATGGCTCAGGAGGAAGAAAATCCCTTTAAGTGCAGTGAGTGTGGGAAAGGGTTCAACAAGAAACGTCTTCTTGCTCGGCATGAGAGGATCCACTCTGGAGTAAAGCCGTACGAGTGCACAGAGTGTGGCAAGGCCTTCAGCAAGAGCACGTACCTCCTGCAGCACCACAGGGTCCACACAGGGGAGAGGCCCTACCAATGCGGAGAGTGCGGGAAGGCCTTCAACCGCAAGTCCCATCTCACCCAGCACCAGCGCATCCACAGTGGGGAGAAGCCCTACAAGTGTGGGGAGTGTGGGAAGGCCTTCACCCACCGCTCCACCTTCGTCCTGCACAATAGGAGCCACACTGGAGAAAAACCGTTTGTGTGCAAAGAATGCGGGAAAGCCTTTCGAGATAGACCGGGTTTCATTCGACACTACATCATCCACAGTGGGGAGAATCCCTACGAGTGTTTTGAGTGCGGGAAGTTCTTCAAGCACAGGTCATACCTCATGTGGCACCAGCAGACGCACACGGGGGAGAAGCCCTTCGAGTGCAGTGAGTGCGGGAAGGTGTTTTGTGAAAGCGCTGCCCTGATCCACCACTATGTCATCCACACGGGAGAGAAGCCCTTTGAGTGTCTCCAGTGCGGGAAGGCCTTCAACCACAGGTCCTACCTCAAGAGGCACCAGCGCATCCACACTGGCGAGAAGCCTTATGTGTGCAGTGAGTGTGGAAAAGCCTTCACCCACTGCTCCACCTTCATCCTGCACAAAAGGGCCCACACCGGAGAAAAGCCTTTTGCATGCAAGGAATGTGGGAAAGCCTTCAGCAATAGGGCGGACTTGATCCGACACTTCAGCATCCACTCTGGGGAGAAGCCCTATGAGTGCATGGAGTGTGGGAAGGCCTTCAACCGAAGGTCAGGCCTTACGCGGCACAAGCGGATCCACAGTGGGGAGAAGCCCTATGAGTGTATTGAGTGTGGAAAGTCGTTCTGCTGGAGCACAAACCTCATCCGACACGCTGTCATCCACACAGGGGAGAAGCCCTATGAGTGCGGCCAGTGTGGCAAGGCCTTCAGCCGCAGCTCCTCCCTCTGTCAGCACCAAAAGAAGCACAGAGGAAGAAACCCTGCCAGTGTGGCAGGTGGCGGGAGGACTTTCACGAGCGGTCAGACTTCTGTGGACATCCAGGAACTTTTGCTGAGGAACGACTTCTTAAATGTCTCTGTGGAGGGAAATCGTTTACAGGCAACTGATCATTCATACCAAAGAGAAACCCCTGTCACAGAGTCGTGTACCTGAAGACTGCCTTGAGAAACTCACCCACCCAGCTCAGAGCATTCTCTGTGCAAGATTTCATCCAGGAGGTTCTTTGGGGTTTGTGCACTTGGGAAGCCTTCAGCCACATCTCTCCTACTTCACAGTGCAGTGTTCTCTCAGGAATTTTTATACAGGGGAGGCAATAGAGAAGAAAATCCAGCTCTGCTTTCATATGGCCCCCTCCGATCTCTGGTCCTGGTCCTCGGAGTTCCTCAGTTATTTAAGTGGAGAGGATTGTGGTTCAGGAGGTGAGGACACAGGCATGTGTGTCTTGTGTGCACATTGCTGTTCACTGTCAAGGGTCAGACGTGGAGGCTGGAGTGGAGACTTGCCATGTTTTTATTCTACAGCATTGAGCCTATTCTCATGGAGCACATGTTCTTGTGAGAGATATGAAGTTTTGCTTTATGAACTACTTTTATACTCCTTGTGGGCACGAGCGAGTGTGTGTGTGTATGTGTGTGTGGTGCTGGGAATTGAACTACCACCTTGAGCATGTTAAATAGGAGCATGCTAAGCATGTACTAATCACTCTCTCTCTAAGGACTGAGGAGTAGATGGGCCCATTGTAACCTACTGTTTAAGGCTTGTTTTAAGTGTTTGACTTTTGTGGTTTTAATAACACTCTGATTTTTATCTTGGTCTGTTTACTTAATCGTTGTAACTGTCATAAATCTTCACATGGGGTAAAGTGGTTCTTTCCATTACTTTTTTAAATTGATCTGGCACCCTTTTTTTTTCTTCTTTTGCCTTCTTTATATGCTTAGGATTTTTTTGTTTTTGTAATGAAATCTTGCTCAGATTTGATAGAAACAAATCTATAGATTAGATGTGAATTGGCATCTTTATTGTGTCCAGACTCAGTTTATGAATATGGTGTGCCATTTAAATATTCTTTGGCTTATTACTAATTTGTGGTTGACAACATATGGCTCCTGTACGCTTTTTGGCAGTACTGAGGTTTGAACTCAGGGCCTTGTGATGATTAGCATTTTTGAAAAGATCTATGTCATCTTTCATAATTATATATGGCATTAATATTCAAGCTGCAACTGTCCACATGGCATTTGGTGTATTATATGGAATTTACAATATTTGGAACTATTGTTTTGATATTCTGCAACTGCTAAACTCAGCATTTCCAGTGTTTTTTTTTTTAATTTTGATAATGCTTAGGATTTTAAAGAAAAGTGTTGTCTACAACACTTATTTCTTATCTGTGTTACGGAGCCAGGCAGGATTTCCACCATGGGGGTGAGCAGGACTAGAAAGAACTTAGCCTTACTTGCTTCCTGGTATCCCATGTTGTTTCTCCTAAGTATGTTAGATATATTTGATGTTTTTTTTTGTTGTTGTTGGTTGTGGGACTTGAACCCAGGGCCTGGGCACTGCCTCTTGGGCTGTTTTACTCAAGGCTACTGCTCTACCACTTTGAGACACAGAGCCACTTCTTGTGGTTAACTGGAGATAAGAGGCTCCTGGACTTTCCTGCCAGGGCTGGAGCCTCACACCTCAGTCTTTTGAGTAGCTATGATTACTGGCGTGAGCCACCAGCGCCTGGCATACACTTCTTATATTTTTAAATCACATTTAGAAAACTTCCCTTCTGGCCAGGCGCCAGTGGCTCACGCCTGTAATCCTAGCTACTCAGGAGGCTGAGATGTGAGGATCGCAGTTCAAAGCCACCTGGGGCAGGAAAGTAGTCTGTGAGACTCTTATCTCCAATAAACCACCAGAAAACCAGAAGTGGGGCTGTGGCTCAATTGGTAGAGCACTTGCCTTGAGCTGAAGAGCTGAGGGACAGTGCCCAGGCCCATAGTTCAAGCTCCATGACC